TTTGCTCTGCTTGTTGTGCTTCCTATTTATATCCTAGTGAACTCTTGAACTGGCCTTGTGGCCGCTTGCTTGCGCTCGGAATTTGTGTGGTGTCCTTGAGATCCACCCTGAGCTTGCCTTGTTTCTTGCTTTGACTGGTCTTGTGACCGTTTGTTCACCTTGCTTGCTTTGATGCCCCTCACTTAGCCTATGGGGGTGTGTCAAATGTAATTCTATGCTTGTAGGCTACAGTGAGTAGCACATTAGGGAGTACAGTTGTTAGGGTTGCATATTTGTACTTCCACACTTTCTAGTTTCATTATTCCGTTGCATTCCTATTCTGAGAGCATCTTGCTAGGGGAGCACTTCCGCCTGCGCGCCTTGTCTCTCCTCGACACGTGGCTCGCACACGCTCCCAGTGCATACTCCCACGCACACTCCCTCTCGTAAGACGAGCCTTACTTGTTAGAATGCAGGAAGCCTCTTTCCTGTGATCCGCTGGTTCTTGCGGTGGTGCCGTGGCTGCTGAAGGCGGCAGCGGGGAACTATGCGGCCAAGGGGAGCTTGAAGGGCGGGAAGGGCGGGGGAGGGGGCGAGGGACGGGGGGGCACGGGGCATGATGCGGTGCTGGTGAGGGTTGAGAGGATGCTGGAGAGGAGGGTGGTTGGGGCTGTGGTGGTTGTGGGGGGAGGAGGAGGGAAGGGCGGAGGAGGGAAAGGGGGGGGAGTGAAGGGAGGAGGAGGGAAGGGTGCTGCTGCTGCTGCTGGTCAGGACGAGGAGGGAGAAGAGGAGATGAGGAGGATAGCGATAGAGATGCAGCAGGAGCGGCAGCAGGAGAGGGAGGACGAGGCAGTTCTGCAAGCCGCCCGGGCTGCCATGCAGGAGTGCTTCGCAGAGGCCACGCGGCGAACCTCCATCCGCCACCTGGCGCTCGTCGCGGGAGATTGCGCCATGTGGCTCTGCCACGTCATCCAGGCGCGGCTCTTAGCCAAGTCCCAGCGGGAAGCCAATTCCAAGCGTGATCAAGAGAAAAACTCCAAGCCTCAGCAGCAGCAGCAGCAGCGAGGGAAGAAGCAGCAGGGGAAGCAGGGCAATGCGTTCAAGGCATCTTTGATCGACCTAGCTGTCCAAGACGCCTTTTCTTCGGCCATTTCCCGAATCCTTGATTCTCGGGATTGCCCCCTCCCCTTGACCTTTAACCGCGACACTCTCGCTCGCTTCCCCGGAATGTTTTCCGCCCTCATTCCGTACTTTTTCAGAAAGTGCGGCTCGGGCAGGTCGGAGTTCGTCCGGGCAGCTGCGATGAAACTCGTCACGCCGTTCCTGAACCGTTTTCCGCTGCCCGAGGGGGCCGCGGAGGTGCTTTCCGGGCAGGTGGAAAAGGGGGTGGTGGGGAAACTCCTGATTGAAACCCTAAAGCATGAGTATGGGAAGCTTGAGCGGTGGGAGTTGGGATTGGATTTCTGCTGTGCTCTGCTGCGTTCTGTAGGTCATGCAGAGGAGTTCTTAGCAGCAGCTGCTCGTGACGCGGACGAAGCAGCTTCTCGGAAGGTTCCAAACGGCAACGAGACGCTCGTGAGTGAAGGCTCGGGCGCCCCGAAGCTCCTCCAGGCCTTGGATGTTGAGGGGCTGAAGGCAGCTTCGGCCGCTCCTGCGTCGGTGCAACGGGTGAAGGGGAAGGGGAGGACTGGGCAGGTGATTTCTCAGTTGCAGCGGCTGGTGGCGGCTGTGGAGGCAGTGAGGGAGGGGAGGGCGGGGAGTCTGAGAGAGGGAGTGAGTGTGGTTTTGGGGCGTGTGAGGGGAGGGAAGGGGTCTTGGGGTGAGGAGGAGGGTGGGGAGGATGGAGGGGAGGAGGGAGAGGGGATCGGTGGGGATGGTGGGAAGAGAGGGGGGAAGGGTGGGAAGAAGGGGAAGGGAGGGAAGGGTAAGCGGAAGCAGGTGGGAGAAGCAGAGGGAAAGGAGGTGAAGGAGGAGAAGAAAGAGAAGCAGAGTGAGGAGGCGGAGGAGCAACTGAGAGGGAAAAAGAAGCTGAAGAAGGAGAATTACGGGGGGGATCAGGAGGAGGGGAAGAAGAGAAAGCAGCAGAAGAAAAGCACATGTGAGGAGCAGTAAGAGGAGGAGGAGGAAGGGAAGAGGAGCAAGAAGTTTTGATTCAGGTATGTGGATGAGATAACTTTTGAGGCGCCTCAAAAGGTGAGGAGCAGTAAGAGGAGGAGGAAGGAGCAAGCAGAAGTTTTGATGAGAGTGTGGCGATGAGATACAGGACTGGAAAAGAGGGTGGGGTTGTGGTAGGGTGGAGGGGGAGAGAGGGAATGGGGGGAGGGGTGGGCTGGGTGCGGGGAGGGGGGCTTTGAGATGGCCCAAGATTCAGGAGAGGGGGTAGAAGAAGGAATTTACGAGGGGGGTGGCTGATTTGCTGGCAGGTGGATTGAAGACAGGCACACGAGGGAACGGAGGAAGGAGGAGGAAGAGCCATGGCAATAGAGCTTAAGGGACATGGATATTCCAGGAAAATAAATATGGCACAGAATTTGTTTCTTAGGTTATAACTGGGATATGGTAAATCTTGAAAAAAGACCCAACCAAATTTGAACTAGTGAGTTTGAGCCTGGACGAATGGGTACTCCACTCCATGGGCTGTTGCAGAATGCAGAATGCCCCTGAGCCGAGCTTTTTATGCTTCAATTTCCTGGATATAGGACCTGCCGGAAGAACAGTTCCATGGCAGTCTAATTTGCATAATTTTGTAAGGACCCCGCTTTTCTGTATTGTAGTTGTAAATGGAATTGCGCTTCAGCCTTTAGAGGTGTAACATTCAAATTCTGATGCGTTGCTTGTGTCAGACTCAATATCTGACACACGCACCGCGTCAGATCAAACATCTGACGCGCACCCGCGCATTTCACACACGCGGGGTTTTTTTTTATTACGAAAATGTGACCCTCCTGCCCCAAAATCAAGGGTACCACCCAAAAAAATCAATATGGTAGGCGTTCCTCAAACATTGTTGTTCGCCTGGCCACCGCCTAGAACTTGCCGAAGTGAAATTCGTGGCACCCTATTTCCGTGTGACGGACCTCTGGAATTAGTTAGTTATTGCTGAGATCAGAGACAGGTCTCACGAACCACCACAGGAACCGCGAATGCCTGACACTGCGGTCTCGCACTCTATATTTTCTGGTTAGCCGGATTTTTTCCTAATGTGTCTTAAAGAATGGATGTCTGACACTGAGACCTCGAGGCCTGTACTTTCCAGTTAGCAGGCTCTTTTTCCGAAGTGCCTTACGAATATGGATGTCCGACACTGAGAACTTGTAGTCTGCATTTTCCGGTCAACAGGCTCTTGTCTCGCAGTCGACATTTTCCGGTTAGCAGGCTCTTTACTCGAGGTTTCTTTAGTATGGATGTCTGACACTGAGGTCTCGCAGTCTACATTTTCCGGTTGGCAGGCTCTTTCTCAAGGTTTAGAAAAAAAAAAATGGATGTCTGACCCTGCGGTCTTGCGCTCTATATATTTTCCGGTTAGCATGCTCTTTTCTTGAGGTGCTTTGAACGGATGTCTGACACTGAGGTCTCGCAGTCTACATTCTCATCCCAGTTACGCGAATCTAGCCGGTTGCGCAATCTCAGGCAATACTTCCTCGCGGAACTAGCTTTTATAACAGCCCTGTTACTGAACTAATAATAACTTCAGTGCAGTTACTGAACGGGTTATTTTAACAGCGATTAGGATATTTTTATAAAAACACTGCCACGGACAGCCATTTCGTATTCACCACTACTGCCTGCCATAAGTTAGTCGTTTTTTTTTTTTTTCCTTTTCTTATTTCTGATTGGCAGCAGAAACGTCGTCTTAAGATTCTGGAGAGTAGTCTCATCTCTCTTTGCTGATAGTAACGCACACAGCCAGTAACGCACACAGCTTGTAACGCACGCGTGCACGCCGTTTCTTGATCGGTATGATTGGGTTAGGGTAAAGAGGCGATTTTTTAGCCGGCCTCGGAATAACTGGGTTAGAGTAAGGAGGATGAATCAAGCGGGAGCAGTGGGAGGTGGGGGAGGTGGGGGAGATGGAGGGGGGGGGAGGAGGAGAGGGAGGAGGAGGAGGAGGAGATATCGTTGGTATGGTTACAAAGGCTGTAAATCTGGGGGCAATGGAAAAGGGAGATCTGATTCGCGTGCATAACCTCATCAGCAAGGCGTTACAGGGACACACTGGAGAAGCTACAACCGCTACAGATGCGACAGATGCTACTGGTGCAACAGATGCTACGGGGGTTACAGCTACGGCTGCAGGGGCTACAGCTACAGGGGTTACAGCCATTGCAGGAGCTACAGCTTCTACAGGTGCTGCAGCCGCTACAGGAGTTACAGCTGTTCCAGAAACTGCAGGAGCCACAGGTGCAGCTGCTCCAGCGACTGCAGCTGTTACAGGAACTGCTACAGGAGCTACAGGTGATGCAGCCGCTACAGGAGTTACAGCTGTCTCAGGAACTGCAGGAGCTGCAGCTGTTCCGGCGACTACAGCTGCAACAGGGGCTGCAGCTGTTACAGGAGCCCCGGCTGTTGCTGGAGCCACAACCGTGACAGGAGCTACAGCTGTGACAGGAGCTACAACCGTGACAGGAGCTACAGCTGTGACAGGAGCTACAGCTGTGACAGGAGCTACAGCTGTGACAGGAGCTACAGCTGTGACAGGAGCTACAGCTGTGACAAGAGCTACAGCTGCTACAGGAGCCCCAGCCGTTGCTGGAGCCACAACCCTGACAAGAGCTACAGCTGTTACAAGAGCTACAACCGTTCCAGGAGCTACAGCGATTTCAGGAGGTACAGCTGCTTTGGGAGCTACAACGGGTACAGGAGCTGCAGCTGCCACAGGAGCTCCAACTTTTACAGGAACTACAACTGCTACAGCCGTTGCAGGAGCTGCAACTGCTACAGGTGCTATAATTGTCATAGAAACTACGGCGTCAACCCGCACTCGACCCCTTTTGTCTTCTTCTTCCCCATCCTCTCGGCCTATGTCTATTGTGACAACTTCCCGAACCGCATTGGCCCCATCTCACATCCCCCGTCGCACCATTCTATTGCCTATTACTCATGTGCCTGCACCTTTCACTTTTCCTGCGTGTTCTCGTGCCGCCCATTCTCGTGCCGCCCCTTCTCCCGCCGCCCATTCTCGTGCTGCCGCTTCTCGTGCCGCCCCTTCTCCCGCCGCTCCTTCTCCCGCCGCCCCTTCTCCCGCCGCTCCTTCTCCCGCCGCCCATTCTCGTGCTGCCGCTTCTCGTGCCGCCCCTTCTCGTGCCGCCCCTTCTCCCGCCGCTCCTTCCCCCGCCGCCCCTTCTCCTGCCACCCCTTCTCGTGCTGTCTCTTCTCGTGCCGCCCCTTCTCCCGCCACGCCTTCTCCCGCCGCCCCTTCTCGTGCTGCTGCTTCTCCTGCCGCCCCTTCTCGTGCCGCCCCTTCTCCTGCCGCCTCTTCTTTTGCTGCCACTTCCCGTGGCGCCCCTTCTCCCGCCGCGCCTTCTCCTGCCTCCCCTTCTCATGTTGCCGCTTGTGCCGCCGCCCCTTTGCCTGCCATCCGAACCTCCTCTGGTCAACCCACCCACCGAGCCACAGTACCAGGTTCGGCCCGCCAAACGCCGTCTGAAAGGACAATGACTGGCCAGGGAATTTCCACACCTTCCGTCAACGAATGGCCCTCATCCTCACACCCCACACAGCCCTCACAAGCCTTGCAGCTCTCACAACCTTCACAGCCCTCACAAGCCTTGCAGCCTGCACAACCCTTGCTGCACATGCCTTGCATTGATGAGTTCCCCTCCTCACAGCCCTCTGAGCAAGCCTCTCCGCGACAAGGCTTGCCTTTCTCTCCCTCTCAGGCCATCACCCGCTCTCACGAGACCAACTCCCCTCATCCCAGCCCCCCTTACCCCGCACTCCCTCAACCAACACCCCCTCACACCACCCCTACCTCCCCCACGCCCCTTCACTCCAACCCCACCTTCCCCAACCCCCCCCGCCCCACGCCTGTTCGCACCAGCTCCCCCCGCCGCTTGGCCTGTGACAACCCTTCCCCCTGGCCCTCCGCCAAGCGCTACTTCGGAGTCACCTGGTACCGAAACGCGTGGCAGGTGTTTCTGACGGCCACCAAGGCGGAGCAGCAGCGGTATGGCGTTAGCACCCAGTGGTACTGCGGGCGCTGGCCTAAGGATCAGGTGGAGGATGCAGCAGCAGCCGCGGAAGCAGCACATTTCGTGCTCAAAGGGGGGGGAGTGGGTGAGGGAGCAGGAGAGAGAGTGGGAGCGGCAGGGGAAGGAGGCGGAGGAGGAGGAGGGGGAGGAGGAGGGGGAGGTGGAACCAGGGGGAAGAGCGGGACAGAGCGAGTGTATGACTTTCTTTCAGGAAGGGATAAGGAGCGGTTGAGAGCGATGGGGAGGGCGAAAGCAGCAGAGTTGATCAAGAAGAAGCGGTGGGTGATATGGCAGCAGTGGCGTCCGTCGTGGGGAGAGGAGCAGGAATTGCACGCAACGGCCACTGCTGCTGCGGGATTATCCCTAGGTTCAGCATCTAAGTCTGTCCGCGAGGCAAATGCAGCTGGTATCCCTGTTAAAGCCCTCGCTCTTGCCTCCCGTATCCGCGTTTCTTCACCTTCCCGCACTTCTCGGGCTGCTGCTTCCCACCGCCCTGCCCAGGCTCCTCGGGCAGCCGACCGGGACGTTGAGTGCGTTTCTCCCTCTCGCCTTCTCGCTCTCTGCACCCCTTTCGCCACGGCAAATAACGAGGAGGCTGCAGAAATACTTGCTCTCTTGAATCCTCCCTCTCGCTCCAGGCGCCGCCCAAGCTTCCTTACTCGCTCCAGGCCTCGCGCAAGTTCCAATGCTCGCTCCACTACTCGCAACACCCCTCTCTCTCGCTCCACTCCTCTCGTCCCATCTGCTCCTGCAACGCCTGAGCCTGCTCAGAGGGCTGTGCCGGCTTCTCCTGGTCCCACTGCTCTTCAGTCTCTTGAGCAGCAGCAGCAGCAGCAGCAGCAGCAGCAGCAGCAGCAGGGGGGGGAGGAGCACCAGCAGCCGCAGCAGCAGGAGCAGCAGGAGCAGCAGGAGCAGCAGGAGCAGGAGGGCGGGGAGTATCAAGTCCCGCAGAAGTATTTTGGCGTGTCCTTCCGATAAAACAAGTGGGAGATCCGTATTTCCGTGTCAGCCGCTCTCAAGAAGCGGTATGGGCTGGGGGAGCAGCTTTACTGCGCGCGGTGGGAGCGGGAGCAAGGGGAGGAGGCGGCAGCAGCAGCAGAAGCAATTCATTTCGTGCTGGGGAGAAGGAGGAAGAGAGCGTATGAGTATATTACGGAGGAGGAGAGAGAGCGGTTGAGAGAGATGGGGATGGATCGGGCGATGAAGCTGATCATGCAGGGGAAGTGGAAGACATGGCGGGAGTGGCGGCCAGGGCAGGAGGGGGAGGAGATGGAAGAGGAGGGGGGAGAGGGGGGAGGCGGAGGGGGAGGAGGAGAGGAGGTGGGTGGTGAGGGGATGGAGATGGGAGAGACGGGAGGTGGGGATGGGGGAGTGGGGGGAGTGGGTGGGGTACAGGGTTTTTCGAGACCGAAGAGGAAAAGAGCTCCAAGGAGGGTTGTGAGGGAGGGGAGGGATGATGCTGAATCTGGGGGTGAGTGTGGTGAGGGGGGAGTGGGTAGTGCGAGGGGAGGGAGAGGGAGAGGAGGGAGGGGAGGGAGAGGAGGCGGGGCAAGGAGAGTAAGGGGAAGAGGAAGAGGAGGGGGAGTGGCAGGGGGAGGAGGTAGAGCGGAAATGGTTGGCTACACTGATCTGCCGGGGGGTGAGGAGGAGGTGTTGTATGAAACGGGGGAGGAGAGATGGAGTGCGAGGGGGTTCACGTGGGAAGAGGGGCAGGGTGGGGGGGCCAGGGGGGGAGGTGGGAGGGACGGCGAACGAGGGTGGGAGGCGGGGGAGATGGACCAAGATACAGAGGGGGGAGAGGACGAGGGAGAGGCGGGTGGGGATGGGTGGGAGGAGGATGGGTGGGATGAGGAAGCGTGGGAGGAGGAGCTCTATAATGCGTAACGCTTGAGGGAGATGCTCGGAGGGCTCATGTGAGGCATGATTGTGTGACGAGTCGATGAGGCACAAGCGAAGGGACGCCTGCTTAGGCCAGGCGAATCTGGCTTTTGAGGCGCCTCTCGAATCGCACCTCTCGACTCAAAAATCACACCCAGGGAAGCCGTTTTCTGTGAGATTTTCGTGAGATGACACAAGGGACGCCCGCTAGGTCAGGAGAATCTGACTTCTGAGTCCTCTCCAGGGAGGCCGTTTCCAGTGAGATGGCACAAGGGACGCCCTCTCAGGCCTAGGGAATCTGGCTTCTGGTTCTTGAGGCGCCTCAAAATTAGTGAGATGGTACAATAGACGTTCTCCTAGGCCAGGAGAATCTGCTTTTGCGTCGTCTCAGAAGGCAGATTCCAGTCAAGGTATTGACGACGCCCTCTTGGTCAGGAGAATCTGACCATTGAGTCATTTGAAGGGAGGCTGACTCCTTTGAAGATATAACCATTGTCTTCATAGGTGAGGAGAATCTCACATGAGTCCACACAGCGGGGGCGGGTTCGTCGGACAGGAGAATGATTGGATGCATTTGAAAGAAGTGCTTGAGTGGAGGATGTGGAAGGGGAGAGTAGAGAGGGAGGGGAGGCTCCATAGGCGGTAGAGGCTGGAGAGAGAGGTTGAGTGATAGGAGAAAGGAGTCATATATAGAGGGGTGGAGGAGAGTGAGGGGGATGGGTGGGGGAGGAAGCAAAGCAAGGAGATGAGAGCGGAGTGGAGGTGTGGTGTGGGGAATACACGGGGAGGAACGGAAGCGGGGGTGGGTGGGGTGAAGTGTTATGTGATATTTGTTGGTTGGGTGTTGTTTATTCCAATTCAAATGCTCATTTGTTTTTGGCATCGGGTTTCGAATACGGTTTTCTGAATTTGTAAATTTCATCTGGAATGAAAGCTACTGTCAAGAGGGTAGGGAAGGATGAGCAAGGAGATTATTGCTATGTAAGCAGATTATTGAATTGCTGCTTACATAGTAATTGCTGGAAGGAGATTATTGAAGAAAACAGAGCATACGTACGTTTCTCTAGACCTAAATAGCATCCCTCAAACCAACATCCCTAAACAAACACGAAGGAGAACCGCAACCGTGTTCTTGCTATCTCTGCTCTACCACTGCTGCTGCTGCTGCTGCTGCTGACCGTGGAGGGAGGCAAACCGCTTCAGGGGGACACCGCCGCAGAGGGTAGGGTGACCAACACTCAGCAAGAGACGCCACAGGACTCAAGTGGGGGGCCCTCGTTCTTAGCGCTGAAGGGGCTGATCTTGACCCAGAGGAGGGAGAAGATGGAGGCGAGCAGTACCGACCACACGATCACAATCGTGGGCATCTTGGCGTTCCGCCCTCCGAGACCCTTCATGAAAGGGTAAAGGTGAACAATCACCCACAAGGAGAAGAAGAGCTTTCCGAACAGACCACCCCACTCCGCGGTTCCGGAATTCATCGCACCTGCGACTCCCGCGACAATCCCGAGGACGTTGAAGATGATGAGGAAGAAGGGAGGGATGAGAAGCGACGTCCACTTGAACAGGTAGAGCTCAGCAAACTCGCCATCTTCCGCCTGCTTGGCTGTAACCGTGAAGTTGGTGTCGATACCAGCTAAGACTTTCAGCATACCCTGGAAAACCGCGAAGAGATGCGCCGACACCCCTCCAATAACCCAGAACTGCTCGTTTCTCCACCACTCGGTCATGCTAACTTTAGACCACCTCATTTCAAGCAGACCCGTTGCAAAGATGCTGAGGAAAAGCGCGATGAAGTAGAGCGTAGAGACTGTATCCAGGTACGGAATGATGAATTTGTTCGTCAGTAGGCAGATGGCGGGCAGCATGCAGTACATGAGCAGCGGGAAGGACGTGAACGGGTAAACGACGGTGTTTATGTAAGAGAGTCGCTGAAGCAGCTTCAGGCGGTTGCCCCTCCAGCCGTACCAGATCGGACAATGGCGGGACAGGAAAATCTCCACCGAACCTAGAGCCCACCGGAGCACTTGCTGCAGACGATCGGACAGATTAATGGGCGCTCCTCCCTTGAAGGTGGCGCGCTTCGGCTTGCAGTAGATGGAGCGCCAGCCGCGCGCGTGCATCTTAAAGCCCGTCAGAATATCCTCTGTGACTGACCCGTAGATCCAGCCAAGCTGTAAGGGAGGGAAAAGGAGGGAAAGGAACGGGCGAGAGGGTAAGGGGACGAGAAACAAGCTGTGGGCAGGGAAGGGAGGGCAACAACGGACATCAGACAGAACCTGCTATGGTGACTGATGAATCAAGATGGTAAGGGACAAAGCGTACCTCCTTGCCCCACTCCGTCTTCTCCTCGTAGCCGCACGAGATGACGTGGATGGCCTCCTTCAGAGTGGACCCGGGACTGGCAGAAGCCACGCCGCCGCCCTCCTCGTGGAACGTCGAGAGCACAAAGACCGGCGACTGGCCGAACTTCTTCTCAAACTTCTTGAGCGCCAAGAGGCTGTCTCCCTCCACTGTGGAACGGAACAAGAGGAAAGAACACGAAGAGGAGGAGAATCATGCCTGGCACAAGAGGGGAGGTGTTTTGAGACGTCTCAAAAGAGGGGAGGAGAACGAGGGATGGATGGGGGCGGACAATTTCTCATATCAGATTCAATATTTCAAGCAACGAATCCACGAGGCGACTCACCATCGTCATCACCCAGGAAGGCCTCAGCGCCGGCAGGCAGCGGCGTGCCATCAGGAAGCTGCTTCCGCTTGCCTCCGCCCTCCTTCCCGCGGTCGCCCGCGCAGCAGCTGAAGCACGAGCACATGAGCCCACCGCACCGCGCCTTCTTCTCCTTCTTGGGCGGCTCGTAGCCGTAGAGCGCGTGGCGACGGAAGCAGCAACCGGTACCCACGTAGCAGGGGCCCTGAATGCCGTCGAGCCCAGGCAGATTAATCTGTGGGAGTGTGCATGGGGAGAGAGTTGCGGGTAAGGAGATTAAAGGGGGAAATGAGCAAGGTTGGGTTGCGAATGGCAGAAAACATGGTGACCAAGGGAAGGCAAAGGGTGAGTCAGGGATTAGCCCAACACAAGCGGGTACAAACGGGAAGGGTAGACTGTAACGAAGGGGCTTACATCGAAGAAGACGGTGTTGTGGTTGGCGTAACGATCGTTGGGGTCAATGCCGTCGAATCGCTGCGGGAACTGCACGTAGCAGCACTTCTTGCCCACATTCGGGTCCATCATGAAGCACATCGCCTCGCGCAGCGCCTTGCTGTCGTTGAGGTAATGATCGCAATCCAGATTCAGCATGTACGGCGCGTTGGACAGAATCGCCGACACGCGGATCAGCGAGTTCATCGCACCGGCCTTCTTGTGGTGGTTGTAACCCGGGCGCTTCTCGCGAGAGACGTAAACCATGCGCGGAAGCACGTGACCGTCGACGTCGGTTCCGCCGCTCGGGCCGAGGAAGACCTGGATCATGCCGGGATGGTCGCGGGATTTGCTGCCCGGCCACGGCGTGCCGTCCTGCATCACCCAGCCTTCTTCGGGCATCTTGTGGGAGCGCGCGACGAGAGAGTTAATGCGAATCTTGAACTCCTCATAGTCCCTCTGTAGCAGGAGGAAGAATAAGAGACACGGGGAAGTGGGAGGAATGAAAAAATTGACGACAATCTGCGTAGTAGAGGTGCGCATTCAATTTCGAGAGAAAAAAGGCAGGGACAACCTAGAATGACCCGAGGCGCCTCTTTTGTCACGATAATTAAAAAAATGCTTGTTACCCGGAACGAAACACACCTTCATTTGGCGACGATCCTTGACGAAATCCTGGTCAACCTTGTCCTTGAGGTAGTCGACCTTCTGCGTGAAGTACACTTCAGGTGCCCGCGGCTCGATGTTGTATCTCTTCGCGAAAGGAATCCAGCGCCTCGCGAATTTCGCCGTTTCGCCCATCGCATCGAAAGTGAGCATCGCGCCACCATCGTCGTGCACGTAAGCCGAAACTTTGTCGACGGGATAATCAACGGACAGGATGGAGAGAAGCGTGTTCGCTGTGGTGAGCGGAGGCTCCTTCTGCGGATCCACCGTCGACACGAAAAGATCGACAGCCGACAGCTGCGAAGGCTCGCCCTTGCGATCGAAACGCAGCGACAGACGGTCCAGATACGTCTCTCGCTTGATCGGCATCCACTTGGGAAACTGATCGAGAATCCACGAAAACGCAAACCAGACTTCGCAAATAACCGAAATAAGCCACAGCCACCACGCTCCGTCGACGGGATTCAGGCACCGCCAGCGAAGGAAGAAAACGAGCACCGCCAGGCGAATCACGATAACCAGACGGTACGGGCTGATGAGCGATGACGGATAGTGAACCTTGCGCGACAGAGGCTGACGGGATTCGTCCATGGACGGGAGATCGCCTTCGGCAGTGGCGCCTGCGGAAACTTCCTCTGCGCCGTTGCCGTCGCCGACCACCATGCGACCCTGCTGCTGCTTCCACGACTCCACACGATCCTTCCAGACGACGCTGCCGTAGCCGTAGCTGGGGGCACGGAGCTCCACTGCAGACATACGCGACAGTACATAATCCTAGTTAGATATAAACTGTAACGGAGGGTATCAACGTATACGTTCTGCATTACGAACGATGCCGTATGCGTGATTATTCAGCGTCTCGGTTTCAACTTACTGGCCATGTCGTTGGCGCTCGGCGTCTGGCTGGGCGTACGGCTGGGCGTGCGCTCGTACTTGTTGTAATCCGAGGGCGGCGGAATCGTACCGGCCGGCACCATAGCGCCCGGGTTGTACTCCGTTGCGACCGACTGGTCTGGGTTGACCTGGTTGGACGTCAGCATCGGGTACTGCGACGACGCCTGCGCGTTGTGTGACACGTACGACGCGTACGACGTCGTAGGGACGTCCAGCGATGCGCCGGCCCTGTCGCCTCCGCGGTCGCTCCTCGCCTCTTCGTCGTCTTCGTCGTCATCATCTTCGTCAATGCGTGGGCTCCCTGTGTAGACGTGGCGTGAGAATAGAGGCTTCAATTTCAGAAACAAAACGCAACCTGTCGTCTTGATTGCATAGGCTTCCGGTGTGAAAGCTGCATGGAAAGACAAAGCTAGACAAAGCGCAAGACTACGTCGTTCACACGACACGTCTGCACATTCTCGCATGGACTCGCTAGTAACACATACCCTTGTAGCGCTTGTAAAACGTCTTGCACTGCGGGCACGCGCGGCTGCCCTCCTTGCGCTCGTAGTCGTAGCAGGGGCGGCACACGGGGTACGCGCACTCGTGGCACGCCACGAAGATGCCGCCCTCCACGAATTGACCCACATCGTCGCCGCAGATCTGGCAGATGATCGGATTGAACGTCGGGTTGTGCGACTGCGGGTCAAGCCAAAAAGGGGAGAAAAGAGCAACGGAAAAACAGTAAGGTCGTTAGGAAATGGCGGTCAATGTCAATATGTAATTCATTCCGCGGGTGCGGATGGGACATGAATTCAGCAGCATATCAAAACGAGTATCGGGGATAGTGCGGATAAGTGCATGAATGAATGTTATTGACAAGGAATGCGGGCAGACTGCGGTAACAAAGGCTCGTCTCCGTTCTGACACGGTTCGTAAATTGGTAACGGTCCTTTCGATAGCCGCGAGCTCGGTCGAGTGATAAATTCCAGTCGACCCCAGAGAAAGTAGTAAAGTAGAACGGATGGATAAATTACCACTTGGGAATCCTTGCGGATAACAACTAAGTGGTTCCGGTTGTGGCTGCCCGCCACTAGGCCCGTGTTGTGCTCCATAGCGGCCTCCCAGCTCAAACGCGCAGGGGGCGCCTCCTGTCTACCACTCTAGGAATGCTCAATCGACCGAGCCTAATTCGCGATGTCACCTACAAGCGCTACGAAGTCAGAAGCTTCTAGCAGCTTTTTGCCGCCTCACTGGTAATGAAATGTGTTCACATTATAAGAAAAGGAGGCTGTTGGGATAGGAAGTGAGACAGTGTGTGAGTGGGAGGTGGAGGGGCGACAAGGGTAGGTCGGGCGGGGCTTGGCTGGATTGACGGGCGGGGCACAGACGCGCAAAGCTAGGGGCGACTGGGCGATTCAGAATTTCGTACAAGCGGATGGGGTAGTTTGGCGTGGGGAGAGGAAAAACCGCATTGAATCACAATTCGAATGGAGAAAATTAGAGATGCGACTCGGGACAGCCAAAGCGCAGTTGAGCTGCTTGACAGGTAGGACGCATCGGGGCTGGGATGACGAATCAGCACGAGCTCTTGACTCCGCATCGTGCGGTGGAGAGGGTCGCGTGGACGACCATGCGATCAAGGGTTATGGCGTCCCGGTCGCAGGGCATTCGCTGCGGCTGGGGATGGATGGCACAAGCCTAGCCTGGTCAAGGGTTGATGCGACATCTTGGGAGGGCGCAACTGTCGCTATGCGACTCATACGACGCGCGAAGATGTAAGAACCAATGAGTTTGCCAGATGGGAGCTCTGATTGGACAGTGACAATGGGTGGTGTATCGGAACACCTTTCTTATCGAATGGGTTTGCACAAACGAGGGGGCGGTGCGCTGGAGCGATGTGGTTGTCACTAGGCTATTTTTTTATTCAGTCACAAAGTCCTTCGAAAGTGTGCTTACTCCCAGACCATGCAAAGCATACATTAATTTTTGCGCAGTGTACATATACTTTCGGCCTACATATACTTTATTCGATTGTGGTTATGCATACACTCAGTCAATTTGTTCGTCCTTTTTCGTTTTACAGCAATTAAACATGTCACTCTGTCTAGCAGAAATATACGCTGCTCTGACATACATCAGAAAAGCACAACGCTTGTTACATCATCATTTGGTACACCACACCACAAAACTACCCTCATATTCCACATTACTTACCCTCGTCATTCCTCAGTCATATGTCTGCCTCAACTGCATCTCTGTCTCACTCTTCCACGTGGCATGCGACGATTGGCCCTTCATTCGCTTCGATTTCTCCTTGTCCTTGACTTTACTATCCCCTTCCCGCTTTTTCGCCTTCTCTCTGCCCGCTGCCACGTCAGCGTCTCCTGCTGGCCTATCGCGGCAAATCGGGCAGACCACACCCTGCCCTGAGGAAGGAGTTTTGGGAACCTGACACGTCGGGCAAATCCTGCAAATGTTTGTGAGATTCGGGCAGAGTCAAAGTGAGAAAAAAGTCGAGTTGAAAGGTAGAGAGTGGAGTTTGACATTGAAAACATACATACAAAACAGGAGTGCAGAAACTCAGCATGTATGGTGCCATGCCAATTCCCCACTTCCTCAACATCCGGGACTGATGAACCACAGATCTCAGAGTCATTTTGTTGAATTCTCAATAATGACTCCAACAAAGATCTATAGAAAACATCCTTTCTCAACCTTCACCACCATATCCACCTGTGTGACATTTGAGGCTCTACTGGACTTTCCCCAACCCTTTTCCCCAACCCTTTTCCCGACCCTTTTCCCCAACCCTTTTCCCGACCCTTTTCCCCAACCCTTTTCCCGACCCTTTTCCCCAACCCTTTCCCCCAACCCTTTTCCCCAACCCTTTTCCCGACCCTTTTCCCCAACCCTTTTCCCGACCCTTTTCCCAACCCTTTTTACAACCCTTTTGCACCTCTTTGCACCTCTACCCACATGAGCCAATCCACAGCGTCGGCTTTAGGAGGCATTGACACTCCCACTGCCTTTCCACCTTGCTCCTATACAGCCCATCTCCATCTCCCTCAAGATCCCTTGAACCCCTTTGTATCTCTTTGCAACCCCTTCCACCGCATTGAACCTCTACCCACCTGAGCAAGTCCACAGCGTCGGCTTTAGGAGGCATCGACACGCCCACTGCCTTTCTGCCACGTGTCGCATCCCCATTCACTGCGTCAGAGCCCTCTGCTTCCTCAACCCCCCCTTCCACAGCATCAGGTTCAGCAACAGGGGCGTTAGGGTTTCTCACAGGTGCTGCTACAATCTCCCGCACTGGAAGGGGAAGGGGGAGGCAAGGGAATGGGTAAATGGAGGGACAAATTGTATCTTGCACTGCAGCAGCTGCAGCAGCAGGGTCAGCAGCAGCAACAGCAGCAGCAGCAGGGTCAGCAGCAGCAGGGGCGTTTGGGTTTCTCACGGGTGCTGCTACAATTTCCTGTACCGGAAAGGGAGCAGGAGGCAGAGGAGATGGACTAAAGAGCGGTTCCACTGCAGCAGGGTTAGCAGCAGCAGCAGCAGCAGCAGCGGCGGCGGTGGCGGCGGCAGCAGCAGGGGAAGCAGCAGCAGGGGAAGCAGCAGCAGCAGAAGGGGAAGCAGTAGCAGCAGCAGCAGGGGCAGCAGCAGCAGGGGCAGCAGGGGCAGGTGCAGTGTCGGCGTGTGGTAGGGTGCTCTAAAAGGTTCAGGGCATGAAGGTTCAGGTTCAATACAAGTTTGAAGACTCACCCCCACCGCCGACGCCCCCTGCTCGCCTGTCTCAGTACACCACCGTTGCAGGAGCAGGAGGCGAGAGATATAGGGTGCACTGAGAGATTCAGGCATGAAGGTTCGGGTTCAATACAAGTTAGAAGACTCAACCCCACCGCCGACGCCCCCTGCTCGCCTGTCTCAGTACACCACCGTTGCAGGAGCAGGAGGCGAGAGATATAGGGTGCACTGAGAGATTCAGGCATGAAGGTTCGGGTTCAATACAAGTTTGAAGACTCACCCCCACCGCCGACGCCCCCTGCCCGCCTGTCTCAGTACACCACCGTTGCAGGAGGCTGTGGTGTGGTTAGGAGGCGTGCAGTGTGGTGGCGTCTGGTGAGGAGGCGTGTGGAGGGTCTGGTTAATGAACTCACCTCCACCACCGACGCCCCCGGCCCGCCTCTCTCGGTACACCACCCACCGCTGCAGGAGGCGTGTGGTGTGGTGGTAGGATGCTCTGAAAGGTTCAGGTATGGAGGTTCGGATTCAATATATGTGGTGGGTGGGGTGACAGAAAACTCAAAACTCACCCCCACCACCGACGCTCCCTGCTCGCCTCTCTTGGTACACCACTGCTGCAGGAGGCTTGTGGTGTGTTGTGAAAGTGTGTGGTGTGGTATGGAGGCGTGCGGAGTGGTGTGGAGAGTTCGAAGTGTGATCTATAAACTCACCCCCACTGCCGACGCCTCCTGCTCGCCTCTCTCGGTACACCACAGGTGCAGGAGCAGCCGTAGCCGCCCCGGCGACAGACACGATGCCACGTGGCGCCTCCTCATTGGCCGATCCCATGGCAACGAGCTTGCCGGCGCGAGCTATGTGCATGTGGTGGGATAGGGCTGTTGGGGCGAGGAAGGACGGCGGTCCTCCTACCTGTGAGGAGAACAAGGGGAGGGGGGAGACGAGACAGCAACTGGTTTGCAAACAGTGCAGGTATGTGCGAGTGGTGTGGTAAGATAGGGCTGTTGGGGCGAGGAAGGACAGTGGGCCCTCCACCTGAGGGATGCAGAGAAAAGGGGAGAGGAAAGGAGGGGTACGGGTGGCGGTGTAAAAGAGGAGGCAGAATCGAGCTTGGCAGGGCAGGGAATGTGCATGTGGTGAGATAGAGCTGTTGGGGCGAGGAAGGACCCTCTACCTGAGAGAAAGGGGGTAGAGGAGAAATAGGTAAGGGAGGAGGCATCAACTGGTTTGCGAGTGCGGGCTATGTGCATGTGGTGGGTCAGGGCTGTTGGGGCGAGGAAGGACGGCGGTCCCTCCACCTGGGGGAGTAATGCAGACATGGAGGGAGAGGAGAGGAGGGGAAATGACGCACGAGAGGGAGGCAGCAACTCGTTTGCCAGTGCGGGGTATGTGCATGTGGTGGGATAGGGCTGTTGGTGTGAGGAAGGACGGTGGGTCTTCTACCTGAGTGGGAGACAAGGGGAGGGGCAGGGGGGTTGATTGGAGAAGGAGCGGGAACAGCAATTGGCTTGGTGTGTGCGGGGTATGTGCATGTGGTGGGATAGGACTGTGAGGCGTGTGCATATGCGAGGAAGGACAGTGGGCATCCACCTAGGAGAGAGCCACAGAGAGAAGGTAGGTAGGACACGCCTCACAGTCCTATGAGGAAGGGCTACCTTCTACCCTGATAGGTTGGGATTCTAGCGAATCCTGCTTCTATTCTACTTTGACTCCCAACCTACCTCAAAATAATACGTTCTTTGCCCTTCCTGTGCTCACAGCAACAGAAGAGGTTCCGGCGGCATCCAACCATCTTGCCAGGTGTAGAGAGTGATTTTTTTAGACGTCTCAAAATTTCTCTTTCTACTACACGTGCCAACCAGCTTGCCAGTGCAGCCGTGCACCACTCGCTAAAAGTGATGGTTTGAGACGTCTCAAAACAACACTTGTAAAAGAAACCCCGCTTTTCACAGCAACAGAAGGGAATCCCGCAGCATAGAACCAGCTTGCCAGTGCAGCCACGCACACTAGCGAACCCCCACCCTTTTGAGAATTCCCGCTTTTGAGACGCTTTTGGGAGTTCTCACTTTTGAGTCGCTATTGAGAATTCTCAATAGCGAACCAGCGTGCAACAGCAGCCTTGAACACCCGCGAACCCCCACCCACCTCCCCAAACCCTAGTGTCCTTCCTCTGCCTCCCGATACTCGCCCCGCTTCCCCTCCCTCTTTCTCCTCTCCTCCACACCATTACCGCAGCACCGGCCTAGAATCTCCAGTCACCGATTCGAACCTGACTGTAATCCCGTGGGTCCATTCCCGTACCTCTCTCCCACTCGGTATCATCTCCTCCTTCCCCCACTAACCCTAATTCTCCCTCCAATCTTCCCTCCCTGTCACTTCCCTTCCTCCTCTCCTCCACACCAATGACGCAGCACCGGAATAAAAGCACCACGCACCGCTTCGAACGCCGCTGCAGCGGACGGCAATCCCGAGGGTCCTTTTTCCGGCAGAAATCCAGCAGCCGTTCGTCTGACGCCGCCTATTCTACCGACCGTCAGCGCTCCGCCGGCATTCCTACCGGCCGTCGCCGCTCCTCCCGCGTTCTCCTTCCCGCCGCTATCCTCTCCGCTCCGCGAAGCTTCTTCTGCCTCCGCATCCTCCGCATCTTCCGCGTCTTCCGATTCGCTGCCTGACGAATCCGACGAATCGCCTCCCTGCACGAAAGCAGCGCTTCGTAGACGCGCTTCGTCCTCGTCAGAATCGTAGCTCTGAACGAGCTGAAGGCTCATGGCAGCGAGACTCGTACTACTTCCTACTTACTCCTTCTAACTCCTACTAACCCCTACCAACTCCTACTGATTCCCTTCGTGGCGGTATCCTTCTGTCTCAGATTATGTTCCTCCTTCTCAAATACGAACACTTATGACGCTGTTCAAAACAGCGGAGCAATGGAGATTATATTCTTGCAGACTAGCAGATCGTGGCGCTTGTTGACTAAGTAGACTCATCAATGCGGTTGAATGAGGTGAACTTGCTGCAAAAATTGGATAAAGATAAGGGCGTGTAACTTTTTCACTCTTCATCCGGACTTTTGTAGGGTTACAAATTTTGCCATAAATCGTTAGCGGATTCGCTAGACCCCTTGCGACGTCGCCATCGTCCGTACGATGACTGACACTTTTTTGTCAAAGCATCGTCCGTTCTACGCCGCTGAAACCGTCCGGACAACATTTCGGACCGTCCGGAACTCCTGCAACGTCATTGGCGCGCGAAGCAAGGTTTTCATAAATTTTGGCGACTCTATTTCCAAGCTGCCGTAGCTTGGTCGCGAAGCGGGCGATGTTCTGGCGAGGCAGGTTATGTGCGTTACTTTCTCGCACATTTCGAAACTGCAAAAAAGTGTCACAACTGTGGTACGGACGCCCTATCGTCCGAACCACATCCCCTATCGTCCGGACGGAGCTCAGTTCGTACGATTTGGGGGCTCCGTCCGGACAATTGACAGAAACGGAAAAAGTTACACGCCCTAACATGTGTCACGCTTTCTAGGGCGCATTCCTTGCTCGTGCCAAACTTCTGGTCGTGTCAGCCGAGCATCACCCTCGAGCCACATAAAGCCCTCAAGTGAGCTCGGGGCCAAACCCAACTCTTCGGGGAAATCTCGAGGTGTTGCCCAAAGAGGGCACTTTGTGTCATACTTTTGCTTTCAAGGCCTGTTTGAGGCGGTTTAATGAGGACAACTACGCTTGTGGGCGGATCCTGACACGGCGGCACTGCTAGTCCAGCCTCTGAGACAAGCGGCGACAAGGCCAGTCACTCAACAAGAGTAACACCGAGTATCTAGTACTACTAGCAGACCCTTAAACAAGGGGCCACAAGGCCACAAAGTGTATACATACATAGACGAAACAACAAATACAGTACAAGATACGAAGATCAAGAAAGTAACACGTGAGGACCTTCGGAGACAAAGCCAAGCTGTGCGCAGAACCGCTGGAGCGCCTTTGTGAAGTTATCAGCGTTGTTGGCCCCTGAGGTCAAGAACACTACACGGGCCTGACTGCGCTGCTCCTGTTCTTTTAGAGTTTAGTCTCTGTAATGTATTGCAGTGGAAGACTGGAATTCCAGTGTTGGTTAAGTGTGAGAACTATAATAAAGAAAAGATACAACAGATTTATAGTATAGGAAAGTACCTATTTGTCAAATGTTGATATTTGTGATAGCCTGTAGTGAGGTGCTCCTTAGTGAGTACAAACATGTTAGGGTTTCCTATTTGTACCCCAACTCCTTTCTAGTCAAGCATTCCGTTGCATTCTAACTTTGAGATGGTATCAGAGCTAGGTTAGTTCCTTGTTACTTCCTAGCCAGCGCCTTCTCTAGCGCACCTCCGCGCCCTCCGCGCCTTAGCCTCCGCGCCCTCCGCGCCCTCTCCGCGGCTTATCGCCCTCCTCCTCCGCGCGTCAGCGCCCTCCGCGCCCCTAGCCCGCGCCGTCACGGGCCTCCGCGCCTAGCGCCCTCCGCGCCCCTAGCCTGCGCCCCTAGCCCGTCGCCCAGGCCCACGCCCTAGCCCGTCGCCCAGGCCCACGCCCTAGCCCGTCGCCCAGGCCCGCGTCCTAGCCCGTCGCCCAGGCCCGCGCCCTAGCCCGTCGCCCAGGCCCGCGCCCTAGCCCGTCGCCCAGGCCCGCGCCCTAGCCCGTCGCCCCGGCCCGCGCCCTAGCCCGTCGCCCCAGCCCGCGCCCTAGCCCGTCGCCCTAGCCCGTCGCCCAGGCCCGCGCCCTCACTCGCGCATCCGCACCTCCGCCTCGTGCCTCCGCGCCTCCGCGCCTTGCTCGCGCATTCGCGCTCTGCCCTTCGCCCGCGCCTTGCCCTCGGCCAGCGCCCTGCGTTCAGCCCGCGCCCTGCCCCTAGCCCGCGCTCTACCCCAAGCCCGCGCCCAGCCCGCGCCCTCGACCCGTGCGCACCCACCGCACTAGGCACGTGGACCTTTTCCCCACCACCGCCCTGTTCGCTGGCCCCCCCCTCGCCGTTCCTACTGTCATTGGTCTCTCGGTCCGCGGCTGGCAGCCGCTACTCTCACCGGTCGCCTAGGTTAGACCCGTGTAGCCACTAGCTCCGCCGGCCTCTTGCCTCGCCACACCTGGCGCTCCTAGGTTTCCCTCCTCGCTAGACCCGCCTCCTCCGTGCTCCAGCCGCCTCTAGCATGGCCTCCATTATGAAATCCCGCCGCCTTCGTTTTGATGCGGAGGGACGCCCGATCGAGTTCAGTACCTGGCAGCGCCAGACCACGCGCTACCTCACCAGTCAGCGTCAGGACGGCGCCACCCTGTGGGCCCACGCGTCTGGTGCCCTCAAGGCGCCCCAGTCCCACGCCCCCCTGCCGACCGGCCCAGAGCCGACTCCTGCGGCCCACGCGGGCTACGACCGTCGGGTCCTGGCGAGGGACGTGTGGAACTCCCGCGACGCTGCCGCCGCTCTTGCGCTGACGGAGCTCCTCCCCCCGACTGAGGCCGCCCACTTTGACAAGGTGGAGACAGCTCAGGGGGTTTGGGATGCTATTGTTGCACGCTATTCCACCCCTTCCTCTGCCTCCCTCAGTTGCCTCCTCATGCCGTTCGTGTTTCCCGACCTCGGCTCGTTTGCGACAGTGTCCGACCTAGTGACTCACCTCCGCTCACTTGACGCCGGTTTCCGTGCGGCCTGTACCGACGCCCAACTTCTTGCTGCCCCCCCCCCCATGTGGCTCACTGTGCACTGGTTAGTCTCCCGCCTCCCTGACCGCCTTGCCACTGCTCGCGACGCGCTTCTCCAGAAGCACCCCACTGAGCTCACTATCGATCTCCTTGATACCGATCTCGGGACGATCGAGAGTAGCCTCCTCACTGCTGCCTCCGCCACTGACGCGGTGGCTCCCCGTCTCTTTGCGGGGTGTGCCG